TCAATCCCCACACCATTGTCCATGTCCATGGGTCATTCCTACATGTTCTTTGACTAGTCCCTTCCCCTTCTTTCTACCATTAACTCCCTTTCCCCTCCTCTCTGGTCTCTGTCAGTCTCTCCCATGTTTCCATGCCTCTGGTTCTATTTTGCTCATTAGTTTATTTTGTTCATTACATTCCTCTTATAAGTGAGAACATACAATATTTGTCGTTCACCACCTGGCTTATTTCACTTAGTATAATATTCTCCAGTTCCATCCATGTTGTCGCAAAAGGTAGGAGTTCCTTTTTTCTGCTGCATAATATTCCATTGTGCAGATATACCACAGTTTTTTGATCCACTCATCTTCTGATGGGTACTTAGGCTGTTTCCAGCACTTGGCTATTGTAAATAGTGCTCTTTTGAACACAGGGGTGCATAAGTTCTTTTGAATTGGTGTTTTGGGACTCTTAGCGTATATTCCCAGCAGTGGAACCTCTGGGTAAAAAGACAGTTCCATTTCTAGTTTCTTGAGCGAATTCCATACTGTTTTCCACAGTGGCTGCACCAGTCTGCACTCCCACCAACAGTGCACTACAGTTCCCTTTTCTCCAAATCCTTGCCAGCACTTGTTGTTTGTTGATTTATTAATGATAGCCATTCTTACAGGTATGAGGTGATATCTCATTGGGTTTTAGTTTGCATCTCACTGATGGCTAGCAATGTTGAGCATCTTTTCATATGCCTATGGACCATCTGTATGTCCTCCTTGGAGAAGTGACTATTCAGATCCTTTGTCTGTTTTTTAATTGGATTGTTTGTCTTTCTGGTGTTGAGTCGTATGAGTTCTTTATATGTTTTGGAGATTAAACCCTTGTCCAATGTATCATTGGCAAATATATTCTGCCATATAGTCAGTTCCCTTTTAATTTTGATGATTTTGTTTTAGCTGTGCGGAAGCTTTTTAATTTGATGTACTCCCATTTGCTTATTTTTCCTTTATTTCTCTTGCCCTCAGAGATATATCAGCAAAAATATTACTATGTGAGATATCTGAAATTTTACTGCCTGTGTTTTCTGCTAGGACTTTTGTGGTATCATGACTTATATTTAAGTCTTTTATCCAGTTTGACTTTATTCTGGTGTATAGTGTGAATTGGTGGTCTAGTTTCTTTTTTTTTTTTTTTTTTTTTTGTATGTACTGGTCCAGTTCTCTCAACACCAGTTACTGAAGAGAATATTTTTACTCCATTGTATGTTCATGCCCCCTTTGTCAAATATTAATTGGACATGAGATTATTTTAGGTCTCTTTATTCTGTTCCATTGATCTATGTGTCTGTTATTTTGCCAATATCAGGCTGTTTTGATTATTGTGGCCTTGTAGTATAGTTTTATATTGAGTATTGTGAGTCCTTCTACTTTATTCATCTTTCTCAAGATTGTTGAAGCTATTTGGGGTCTTTTTTGGTTTTGAAAGAATTTTTGAAATATTCTAAATCAGTAAAATATACCATTGATATTTTAATAGGAATTGCATTGAATTGCTTTGGGTAGTATGGATATTTTAATGATGTTCATTCTTCCAATCCATGAACAGGGTATATGCATTCATTTATTTATATCTTCCCCAATTTCTTTCTTCAGCATTCTATAGTTTTCTGAGTACAAGTCTTTCATCTTCTTGCTTAAATTTACCCCTAGGTACTTTATCTTTCTTTATGCTATAGTAAATGGGATTTTTCCTTAGTTTATCTTTCTGAGAGTTAATTGTATACAAAAAGGCCATCAATTTCTGAATATTGACTTTGTATCCTGCTAATGTGCCTAATTCCCTTACTCGGTTGAGTGGTTTTTTCCAGTGGAGACTATAGGGTTTTCTATGTACAGTACTATCATGTCATCTGCAAATAATGAGTTTTACTTCCTCCTTTCCAATGTGGATGCCTTTTATTTCTTTTTCTTGTCTGATTTCAGCAACTAGAATTTTCAGTATTATGTTGAATAAGAGTGATGAAAATGGACACCCTTGTCTTATTCCTGATCTTAAGGGAAAAACTTTTACTTTTTGCCCATTGAGTATGATCTTGGTAGTAGGTTTCTTGTATGTGGCCTTTATTATGTTGAGGTGCACTCCTGCTATTCCCACTTTGCTGAATGTTTTTATCATAAATGGGTGCTGGATTTTATCAGATGCTTTTTTGGCATCTGTTGATATGATCATGTGGTTTTTGTCCTTCAGTTTGTTTATATGGCATATTACATTTATTGATTTGCAAATATTGTACCATCCTTGCATCCCTGGAATAAATTCCACTTGATCATGGTATATGATATTTTTAATGTATTGTTGGATCCATATTGCCAATATTTTGTTGAGGATTTTGGCATATGTGTTCATCAGAGATATTGGCCTATAATTTTCTTTCTTTCTTGTGTCTTTACCTGGTTTTGGATTTAGGATAATACTGAGCTCGTAAAAAGAGTTTGGGGGTCTTCCCTTTTCTTGAAATTTCTGGAATAGTTTGAGAAGGATAGGAGTTAGTTCTTTTTTGAATGTTTGGTAAAATTTGCCTGTGAAACCATTCAGTCCAGGGCTTTTGTGTGCCAGGAGTGTTTTGATTACTGCTTCAATTTTTCTGGCATATCTGCACCTCCTCCTGCTATGTCTCTTCCTGATGGTAGAGTGGTCTCTCATGTTCTGAGCTTTCTTGTTTACCATTGCCTCAGGCAACCTCCTCTTATGCCCCCCCCCCCACTTTACTCCTCTCCAGTGATCTGATCAGATCTCTCTTTATCAGTCTGCTACGAACCCACCTCTTTAGTGGACAAGATGCCCTGGATGTTGAAGCACCAATAAGTCATTAGAGCTTCTGATGACAATTAAGGGTCAAAAACACATTAAATTTCTCCTCTATTTTGAACTGGTATTAAAGCAACAGTCAGAGGAATCATAACAATTTTATAATAATAAAACCTAATGTTGATATGGAAACTCAAGAGTTAAAGATTTTAATTTTAGTTATAGTTGGTAAGATTAAGTGATTAATGCATGTGGAAAGTTGTTCCAGGAGCTGTAATACATGACCTATGTGACTCCAGGAGGTCTACAAGCAATTCAGCCTTTGTGCCCTATGGGGTCTGCCAGGAGTAGAGTTGGTGTCTGAACCACTGGGTTCCAGGGAGGGAATGTCTGTGATGCGTATAAACAATTGTTAAGCAGTAGATAAAAAAACACTAGAAAAATTGCTGCCAGACCTGCAAGTCTTATCTGATTAACCTTTTCCTAAACCCTTTACCTGTCCTTTTCTTTTTTTCTTTTAAAAAGATTTTATTCATTTATTTTTATAGAGAGGAGAAGAGAGGGAGAGAAGCATTGATGTGTGAGAGAAACATTGATTGGTTGCCATTTGTTCACCCTCAGATGGGGATCTGGCCTGCAACCCAAGCATGTGCCCTGACAGGGAATCAAATCTGCGACCTTTCAGTTTGCAGGCCGGCACTCAATCCACTGAGCCACACCAGCCAGGGCCACCTACCCTTTCCTTTTCCTTATAAAAAGGTTGGCTTCAGAAGAGATGTTCAGATGGTTTTTAGAATACATAACCCGCCATCTCCTCAGATCGCTGGCATCTGAATAAAGTGCCCATAAAGATTCAATCCTTTCTATTTACCAATTCTGGTAGCAACAGGCAGCATGAACGTTGACTTTTCCAAATTACACAGAGAATGGAAGAGGAAATAACAAACAGCTCCACATTTTTGGAAACTGAAAAGATCCAAGGAAGCTGGATCCTAAAATTAGAAGTCTTGTGATTTATATGATAGAGAAGAGACTTCATATCTATATATATGTATATATGTATGTGTGTATGTATATATTCACACACATATGCACACAGACATCCCAAAGACTCAGGAAAGCATAATATTAAGTATTTCTAAAATTCGTGGTAAACTGAAAATAGAAGTAAAAATGGGAGCATGGTTGAATGTCTAATAAGGATGAAATTCCACTATTTCTTCCTCAACTCTTTATAGCCAAGTGAATCTCCCTTCTTCCACCCTGGCAGAAATAGAAAATTTAATACCTGGAAAAGTTAAAACTGAGGGTCTTTAGACTGGGAAGAAAAAGTGGAGTTGTATTAAAACGATGGGATTTAGAGATCATTTACCTATGCTGACTTCCCCTACCTGGCTTCCAGAATGCTGCCAGCCAGTCCTGTATGCCAAAGTTGTAGAAGATTCTTCTATGAAGAATCCACTGACGTACAGTGCTGTCCAATGAAATGACCCAACCAGACCACATTATAGTGAAGCTCAGTCCACGAACAGTACTGCACTGAGAGCTTACCTTCAGCTTCCATATTAGCTGACCACCAGGAACCACAAAATATCTTAAGAAAGCTAAAGATCAACAAAAAGTCTAAGAAAAAACTGACATGAGACATGGAGAAAGGGACTTACAAAAGCTGTCATTAGTGCCCTCAGAGAGACTCTGAGGCAACCTGATAAGCTCTTGCTTCAGCTGTGTTCCTCAGTGTTGAGTGATGGGTCAGCAGGGCCAACCTGTAGCCCATGACCCCCTTGTAGACCACATTCTAGATCCTTGGTGTCAACAATCCCTGCACAAACCACCCCAGCCCCATTCCCAGGATCTGCAGGCTTCTTCCTGTCTCTGTCCTTCTGAGGGCCTTCCAACACACTTGTGTCTATCCTATGCTTAGAGGTAGCTGACGGAAGGTTGTTTATGTTTAGTATGGATGGACCTTGGTGAGTGTTTGGGGCTCCTGATGAGACTCCCCTAAGCCCCCAAGTGCTTTCCTTTTCTGAACATAAATAAAACCTTGGTAAATGAACATTAATCTTTCATAGAGACAGGGTTTTAATGTAGATATATACTCTTAACTGTTCACAGATTTATTTTCAATGTATTTAGAAAACGGTAAGGTTGAAACACATATGATATTTTCAGGCTGAAATGGGTTTTTTAAAAAAATTAATTTCAGTTTTATTTTCAGGGTGACCGTGGATTTCCTGGATTTTCTGGGCTTCATGGAATGCCAGGATTAAAGGTTGAAGCAGTTGGTCTTTTTAAACTCAGCAATGCCCTATAGTATTTCAAATGTCAAACTTTATATTACCAATGTGTTATAAATAAGTAAATAAATGCTTACATATAAAGTATGTCAAAGTAAATGATAAGGTTAAGACTAATATCATAGCTCACATAAAGCTTTATCAAATTTCTTTAAAATTTCCAGTCATAAATATTAAAGTAGTTAAAAATTGATGAGTAAGTTTTATTATATAGAAATTCTCTTAACTATAAGTCTTATACTATAGACCATGTAATAGTACCAACTGTCCTTATTTTTCCTTGTTTTTCTTTATAAAGCCTGGAACATAGGACTTTTGTAAACAATTTATTCTATTTCTCTTTTATTTTGATGTTGGTATATTAAATTCTTTTGTTTATAATTTATATTTGTATTCTAGGGTGAAATGGGCCCCAAAGGGGATAAAGGATCACCTGGATTTTATGGCAAGAAGGGAAGTATGGATTATAAAACAAAATATCCATATTGAACTTTCAATATAATAGAAATAGAAAATTAACATTTTAGTCCCAACCTACCATAGTGGCAATTTGTTTTATTCACATTTCTCAAGGATTTATTTTAAAAAATGAAAAATAACTGATGGCTCTTACACATGGTATTCCATAAGAATATGTTATATTATTGATCTTTTTGAACTTTTATAATAATTACAGTGATAGCTGCTTAACAGCATGTCTATTGAGAATGTTATAGACCTTCCTATTTCTTCACATTGAAGGAAGATTATATTCTATGTATATTTAAAATATTCATTACCTTTTAAATTTTTTCAAGATGTTCTTTCTCTGTTTATATGCTTGTAATAATCTGCGTCCATCAATATTTTCAATGCCTTATATTTTGCCCACTGGCCTGGTAAAATAATACTCTGATAATAAGTTGCAAAGCCAACACAAGCTGTAGTTCCATAAATTCTGTCATTACATAATGAGGTTAACTTACTTTCCTATTAAGTTTGAGTTGGAAGTTTAAAAGATTATTGTAAGGATTGTTTTTAAAGTTTTGTGGGGTTTTTTTGTTTTTTGTTTTTTTAAATACAGGGTGCAAAAGGTGAAAAGGGGAATGCTGGTTTTCCTGGCCTTCCTGGACGTGCTGTGAGTGTGATAGAAAAAGTTCTTGCATATTTTGCTTTAAATAAAAATTATCTTATACTATCTTTCTTTAAAAATATTTCAACAATATATTAAAATGCATATATTTATTTTTCAGGGAGAACCAGGACGACATGGAAAGGATGGATTAATGGGTATTCCTGGTTACAAGGTATTTATGAAAAGAACAAGAAAGATTTATGAATTTATGAATGGACATTAGAGAAATGTGTCAGTACTAGACTTCCTTACATATGATGTTGGAATAAAATTAATGAGCTAAAAGTTGTTTTATTGTAACTTAAAAATGATACTAAATGTCTTTTGAATCTACTGTCAGTTCTTATGTGTTAGAAATAAACTCCTAGGGTATTAAAAGGTTGACTTCTTTTAAAAGCCATTCAGATGAGTTTGTTTAGTTGGTTAGGAGCATAAGTTCTTAGCTCTGCCTCCTAATGGGTTAAGGTTTCAGTACGACTGAATGGTTTTCAGTATATTTACCGAGTTATGCAATCACCACTAGAATCTAATTTTAAAAGAAACCTTATACTTATTAGCAGTCAATCCCTATTTCTACCCAAGCCATTATTTCCAGCTTGTGCAAACTCTAATCTACTTTCTGCCTCTCTGTATTTGCCTACTGTGAACATTTCATATAAAAGAGATCATAGTATATGTGGTCTTTCATGCCTAATCTCTTTCACTTACCACAATGTTTTCCAGATTCATCTATGTCTTGGCCTGTACTAGTGCTTTATTCCTTTTTATTGCTGATCATGTTTCATTGTATGACTATGTCACATTATATTTATTCATTCATCAGTTGATAGGCATTTGGCCTATTTATATTATTTGGTTATTGTGCATAGTGCTGTTATGAAGATTTGTGTACAAGTTTTTGTGAGGATGTATGTTTTCATTTCTGTTGGGTATGTTTCTAGTAGTGGAATTGCTGTAACCTATGACTATATTTAAGATTTTGAGATCGATTTACTCTTGGTACTTACTTTCATGATAGGTTCCTGTGACTCTTCATATTTAACCTTAGTTATGGCTCCGATTTACCAACTAGTGTGGATCTCCTAAAAACAATTAAGTTTATTCTTTCTCATTTGTTTATAATATTTTTATTGGAATAATTTGTGATTAAAAAAGCTTATTTATTTACTTTTTTAAGAAACTTTTATTATTTTTTTAGAGCAGTTCCCAAATACACTCCATTCCCCCACTATCAATTTTTCACACCAGAGTGGTACATTTGGTACAATTGAACCTACTCTGACACACAATTATTACTCAAAGTCTATAGTTTATTTACAATAGATTTCACTTTTGATATTCTAAAGCATCAAACATGATACTTTCACTGCCATAAAATTTTTCTGTGCTCTGCCTGTTCATCCCTCCCTGCCTTCAATGTCCGGCAACCACTGACTGATCTTTTTTCTGTAGTTGTGCCTTTCCAGAATGTCAATAGTTAGAATCATACAGATTGCCACCTTTTCAGATTGGCCTCTTTCCCTTAGTGACATGCATTTAAGGGTCCTCCATGTCTTTTCATGGCTTGGTAACTCGTTTCTTGTTAGCACTGAGTTACATTACTTTGTCTGAATATTCTGTAGTTTATACTTCTTTTTTTGGGAATCTTTGCATATTGAATCGTACCTAATTTTTCTCTGACCTTTTAAAAACCTTTTATCTCCACCCCCCTTCAATTTTTATTTTGAAAATCCATACAGATGGTTGAATTACATAAATATATGGATATTTATTTCTATAATATATTTTAACCACTGAGAAGTAAATTAGACACACTGTATTTCTCTCCTAAATACTTAACTCTTTATCTTCTAAGAATTCTTTAAATTCCTAAATTCCATTATGACACCAAAAGATTTAATATCAATACGATATTTTCTAATATTGAGACCATATTCAAATGTTTCCTGTGGTCCCCAAAATGTCCTAAATAGCTGTTTTCTTTATATGTGCATATACTCAAGATTTGTACATTTTATTTATCATTTTTCAGTGAGGGTTTTCCAGAGAAACAAGCCAATAGATTGTGTGATATGTATGTGTATTTTGCATATATATATACATATAGATTGATAGATAGATAAAGAGAGACAGAGAGACAGAGACATTGAGATTGATTGTTTCATTTTAAGGAATTGGCTCACACCGTTATGGAAGCTGGTAAGTCTAAAATATGTAGGGCAGGCTGGCAGTCAGGAGATGCAAAGCAGAATTGATGTTACAGATCCAGCCCAAAGGCAATCTGAAGACAAAATTCTTTCTCTCTCAGGGATACCTCAGTCATGTTTTTCTTAAGTCCTTCAACCCTTGAATTAGCCCCACCCATATTTTGAAGGGTAATCTGTTTTACCCAAAACTTACTGATTTAAACATTAATCATGTCCTTTAAAAACTCCTTCAGAGCACTGTCTAGATTGATGTTTAATCAAATATCTGGGTATTGTTGCCAAGTCACATAAAATTAACATGTAACCTTATTTTTTAACACATAAAATTAACTATCACAGATGGCAAAGCTCTTTACTCTTTTAATCTAAAGGTGACCCTTTTCCCCCCTTTTCATTTTTCCTGACACTAACATGACATTTTCCAGTATAAGCTCACATAATTTGTATTATTAGTTAATATTTTTCTATCAATAGTAAAGGAGTTTTCTGATTGTTTTCTTATGATTTCATTCAGGATAAACATTTTGGCAAGAATACAATATAAGTGATTTTTTTATGCTTTCTATTATGTTCCATTAGGAGGCACATGATATCTGTCTCTTCTTGGTAATACTAAATTTGATCATGTGGTTAAGAAAGTGGAAATAACTGTGTGCGTGGGCATATGTATGTGTTTGTGTTTATTTTTGTCATGGTATATCTAATTTATTTAGGTCTTATTTAAATGTCTCTAAAAAGTATAATAATTTCCTTTATAAAAATGTAGCACATATTTTGTTAGTTTTCTCAGCTATGTAATACTGTTGATGCTATTGTAAATAGTATCATTTTTAAAGCTTGATTGAAGTATAAATAAAATTCACTCATTTTGTGCAACCACCAAATTCAAGTTTTAGAATTTTTATAATCCCAAAGAGTTCTCTTATTCTGCTTGGCAGTTAATTACTAATCCTACCCCTTGACACTAGGGAACTACTGCTCTGCTTTCAGTCACTATACCACTCTTATAATGTCAATTAAATGTAATCATGTATATTTAGTCATATGGATATATGATAGTTATTTTCATTCATCAGTTGATGAGCATTTGACTTGTTTCCTATGTTTGATATTTATGAATAATGATATGAATATTTATATGGACATCTCAGTTAGATATGTTTTAATTTCTCTTGGGTAGATACCTAGAATTGCTGAGCTGTATGAAGAGTGTATATTTAACTTCTTAAAAAACTACTTATTTTCCAAAGTGGTTGCATATTTTTCTATCTCCATTAGCAATGTATAGAAATTCCAGTTTGACCAAACCCAGCCAACACTTAGTATTATCACCCTTTTTATATTTTAGCCATTTTAGTTGGTAGGTACTAGTATCTCATTGTGGTTTTAGTTTGCATTTCCCTGATGACTAATGGTGTTGACATCTTTTTATGGCCTTATCCATTTGTAAATCTTTTGTGAAGTCGTCTATTCAAACATTTGACCAACTAAAAAATTTTGAGTTGTAAGAGTTCTCAATATGTTTGGATATAACTTCTTTATCAGATATATGCTTGCAAATATTCTCTCCCAGTCTTTGGATTGCCTTTTCATTTCTTTTCTTTTCTTTTACTATTAATTAATTCAAGGTTTTATTTGAATTTTGCCAGTTTTCCCACTAATGTCCCTTTCGCAGGACCCAAATACAGAATCCTGTAGTGTACTCTAGTTGCCATGTCGCTGCAGTCTCCTCCAACCTGTATAGTTTCTTACTCTTTCTGTGCCTTTACTCTTCAAAAATGTCAAGGTCTTTTCTTTTTTTAAGCATATTTTATTGATTATGCTATTACAGTTATCCATATTTTTCTCTCCTTTATCCCCCTCTGCCCTGCATCCCCTTAGTTCATGTCCATGGGTCGTATATCTAAGTTCTTTGGCTTCTCCATTTCCTACACTATTATTAACCTCCTCCTGCCTATTTTGTACCTGCCAATTATGCTTCTTATTCCCTGTACCTTTTCCTCTGTTCTCGCCCCACCCTAGCCCCACAGATAACCCTCTATGTGATCTCCATTTTTGTGATTCTATTCCCATTCTAGTTGTTTCCTTATTTTGTTTTTGTTTTTTAGGTTCAGTTGTTGATAGTTGTGAGTTTGTTGTCATTTTACTGTTCATAGTTTTGATCGTCTACTCTTTCTTAAATAAGTCCGTTAACATTTCATATACCAAGGGCTTGGTGATGATGAACTCCTTTAACTTGACGTTATCTGGGAAGCACTTTATCTGCCCTTCCATTCTAAATGATAGCTTTGCTGGATAGAGTAATCTTGGATGTAGGTCCTTGCCTTTCATGACTTTGAATACCTCTTTCCAGCCCTTTCTTGCCTGAAAGGTTTCTTTTGAGAAATCAGCTCACAGTCCTATGGGAACGCCTTTGTAGATGACTGTCTCCTTTTCTCTTGCTGCTTTTAAGATTCTCTCCTTATCTTTAATCTTGGATAATTTAATTATGATGTGTCTTGGCATGTTCCTCCTTAGGTCCAATTTCTTTGGGATTCCCTGTGCTGCCTGAACTCGTGTGTTTATTTCATTCACCAGATTGGGGAAGTTCTCCTTCATTATTTTTTCAAATAAGTTTTCAAGTTGTTACTATTCCTTTCCCCCTTCAGGCACCCCCATGATTCAGATGTTGAACCATTTAAAGCTCTCCTGGAGGTTCCTAAGCCTCTCCTCATTTTTTTTTTTTGAGTTATCTTTTCTTCATTCTGTTCCAGTTGAATACTTATTTTTTCCTTCTATTCCAAATCATTGATTTGAGTCCTGGTTTCTTTCCCTTCACTGTTGGTTCCCTTTGTACTTTTCTTTATTTCACTTTTCATAGCCTTCACTTTTTCCTCTATTTTGCATCCATACTCAATAATTTCTTTGATTGTTAAGTTTACCAGTGTTTTGAACTGTGCATCTGATATGTTGGCTATCTCCTTGT